ATGGAACAAAGGGCTTCAGTAGCACATCTCCAATGCTCTCTGTTCTCTGAAATCTTTTGAGCCTGGCCCCACGACAGCCCACAAACTCTCATTTCCTCCTCGCACGATCTCCTCCATGTCACCCTCGCATCGGAAGCCCAACTCGTCGTTTCCCATCTAGGTTCCACTCGACGGCCTGCCCTGACGCGTCATGTCCCCAGTCGGCCTTCTCACTGCATGGCTAATCCATCTCCACTTCCTCTGCATATTTGTTGCGTGATAGGTTCTTGGTTGGTTCGTTCCCAGAGTGAGTTCCTTGTTGCTTATTCTTACTATTCTCGCCATCTGATCTTCAGTTTCAGTAACGAGCCAGCGTAGGCAGTTGTTGATGAATGTCTGTAGTTTGTTGGAAATGCTTTTCGTAACGCGCCAAGTCTCTGAACCATGCAGAAGCACTGACTTACTTGACAGACTTAGTTTTGAAAATCCGGATGTTGTTCCACATGCTGAGTGCAGAAGATCCCCACACTGGTTCCAGGTTAATGAACGCCTGTCTTGCTTTTCCGATCCTAGCTGGCTTTGACGTCCTCGTCTGTGCCGCCTGTAATTAAAACAGTGCTACCTAGATAGGTGAAGGAGATTACTTCCTTTCAGTTTCTCCTGTTGATAGTGATTGGAGTTTGTTGTTGTTGGTTGGGTATCTTCATCACCTCTGTCTTCTCTATATTCACTTGAAGTCCGCCTTCGCTACCCTGCCTCTTCTGTCAACTTGTTAGTTTTCGCCTGTAGATCTTCAAAGTTTATGTGATATTAGACACACGTCATCGACGAAATCCAAATCTTCTAGGCTCTTTTCCGCGGTCCAGCCACTGTTTGTTGCATGATACAGTCCACTACAACACAATCAAGAATATCATGGGTGATAGTAGACAGCCTTGTTTCAATCCTGTCTTCACTTCAAAAGCATCACTGAGCTTCCCATTGTGAATCACTTGGCATATGGCATCTTCATACAGTTGTTGAATGAGTTGATAAAGGTTCGTGATATTCCGTAGTGTTGAAGCAACTGCCGAATTACTTCTCGGTTGACGTTGTCGAAGGCCTTTTCAAAGTCGATGAAGTTGAGGTGTAGAGTTGACTGCCATTCTATACTCTATTCTTTGATGATGTGTAGCGTTGCAATTTGATCCGCACATGATTTGTACTTCCTGAATCCAGCCAGCCAGCCTGTTCCGGTCGTAGTTTTGAATCCAGCGCATCCTTAAGTCTCTCCAGGATGATGCGGCCTAATATTTTGCTTACTCTGGGTGGATAGGAGTGGGACGTGATTCCGCACCAGTTTTTGCAAAGACTTAGGTCTCCCTTCTTCGGGAGTTTGATAAGGTAACCCTTCTTCCAATCACCAGGTACCTTTACTTCGTTTCAGACTTTCTGTAATAGTAGAGTGTGCATGTCCGCTGTTGTGTCTGCGTCTGTTCTCAGTGCTTCTAGTGGGATTCCTTCTGGTCCTGCTGCTTTCCTACATTTCAGTAGCTTTATGGCATTGAGGTGGGTCGAGAGGCACTAGGTGAAATGAATGAGAATGGAGAATTGTTTGCAGAATTCTGCGCATTCAACGATTTGGTGATTGGAGGCAGTGTGTTCAGGCACAAGATATCCACAAAGCGACATGGATTTCACCAGATGGACACACTAAAAATCAAATCGACTTTATCTCAATCTCAAGAAAATGGAGACGCAGTCTACTTAACACAAGGTCAAGAAGAGGAGCAGATGTAGGTTCAGACCACTACCTAGTGCAAGGAACCTTCCAAATCAAGTTAAAAGCCTTCAAGGAAGCTGGTGATAGACCTCAACCCAAGTACAACACTCGGAAACTGAAGGATGAAACTACAAAGGAGATCTTCAAGCAGCCATCAAGACAAAATGGGAGACATCGAGGGACATCCCTGAAGAAACCTGTGTGGAAGAACACTGGAAGTCTTTGAAAGCTATGTGGAAAGAAACCTGCACAACAGTATTAGGAAGGAAGAAGAAAGAAGACAAGGAATGGATCTCGACGGATACCTGGAAGCTGATAGAGGAGAGGAGGATGGTGAAGCAGAAGATAAACCAGTGCAAGGATGCTCAACGACAAGATGAACTGAGCACAATGTATAAAACACTGGACAAAGAAGTGAAGAAGAGTGCACGCAAAGACAAAAGACACTTCTACGAAACACTGGCAAGTGAAGCAGAACAGGCTGCAGGTAAGAGAGACCTGACGACATTGTATCAAATAACCAGGTTGCTATCAGGGAAGAGACCAACACAGATGAAACCAATAAAAGATGAAGAAGGAAATTTAATTACAAAGAAGAGAAACAGAGGAAACGATGGGCCGACCACTTCAAGAAGCTCTTGAATCGACCACCACCTGCACTTCGTCCAGAAATACCACCTGCAGCCGCTGAACTACAAGTGAACATTAATCCCCCAACGAAAATGGAAGTCCTGAACGCCATAAAGCTACTGAAATGCGGGAAAGCAGCAGGACCAGATGGAATACCGCCAGAAGCACTGAAAACAGATGCAGAGACAACAGCGGCCATGCTCACACCACTATTGCAGAAGGTGTGGAAGGAAGAGAAGGTACCTGACGATTGGAAGAAGGGTTACCTTGTCAAACTGCCGAAGAAGGGAGACCTCAGTGCTTGCAAGAACTGGCGCGGAATCACTCTCCTGTCCACCCCAAGTAAAATATTAAGCCGCATCATCCTGGAGAGGCTAAGGGATGCACTGGATTCAAAACTACGACCGGAACAGGCAGGCTTCAGGAAGTACAAATCATGTGCAGACCAAATTGCAACGCTTCGTATCATCATAGAACAGAGCATAGAATGGCAATCACCTCTCCACCTCAACTTCATCGACTTTGAGAAGGCCTTTGACAGCGTCGACCGAGAAGTAATTTGGAAACTGCTTCAATACTACGGAGTACCGCAAACCTTTATCCCTCATTCAACAACTATATGAAGATGCTACATGCCAAGTAATCCACAATGGGAAGCTCAGTGATGCCTTTGAAGTGAAGACAGGAGTGAAACAAGGTTGCCTACTATCCCCCATGATATTCTTGATTGTGGTGGACTGGATCATGCAGCAAACAGTAGGCAGCGAGAAGAGGGGGATACACTGGACGACGGAAAAGAACCTAGAAGACTTGGATTTCGCCGATGACTTATGCCTAATGTCACATAAACTTGAAGATCTGCAGGCAAAAACTAACAAGTTGAGAAGAGGCAGCTAAGACGGGACTTCAGGTGAATATAGAGAAGACAGAAGTGATGAAGATACCGCACCACCACCATCAACAACAACAACAACAAACTCCAATCACTGTCAACGGGAGAAACTTAAAGGAAGTAACCTCCTTCACTTATCTAGGAAGCACTGTTTCAACTACAGGCGGGACGGACGAGGACGTCAAAGTCAGAATCGGAAAAGCAAGACAGGCATTCATTAGCCTGAAACCAGTGTGGAGATCTGCACTCAGCATGCGGAACAAGATACGGATTTTCAACACCAACGTCAAGTCAGTGCTCTTGTATGGCTCAGAGACTTGGCGCGTCACGAAAGGTATTTCCAATAAACTACAGACATTCATCAACAACTGCTTACGCTCGCTGCTGAAGATCAGATGGCCAGAAAAAATAAGCAACAAGGAACTCTGGGAACGAACCAACCAAGAACCTATCACGCAACAAATATGCAGGAAGAAGTGGAGATGGATTGGCCATGCACTGAGAAGGCCGACGGAGGACATCACGCGTCAGGCCCTCGAGTGGAATCCCCATGGGAAGCGACGAGTTGGACGTCCGAGGGTGACATGGAGGAGGTCGTGCGAGCAGGAAATGAGAGCTTCTGGGCTGTCGTGGACCAGGTTCAAAAGATCTCAGAGAACAGAGGTCACTGGAGGCGTGCTACTGAAGCCCTATGTTCCACTAGGAACCCAAGGGACTAATAATAATAATAAAAATGGCATTGAGGACTTCGACTTTTGTTGGAGGATTTATGTTCATTTGTAGTTCTGTGGCTGAGCTGCAGATGGTATATTTCTGGATGAAGTGCAGGTGGTGGTGGATTCAAGAGCTTCTTGAAGTGGTCGGCCCATCGTTTTGTTTGTTTCTCTTTTTTCGTAATTAAATTTTCGTCATCATCTTTTATTGGTTTTGTCTGCGTTGATCTCTTCCCTATCAGATAGTTACCTGGTTATTTGATACAATGTTGTCAGATTTCTCTTACCTGCAGCCTGTTCTGCTTCACTTTCCAGTGTTTCGTAGAAGTGTCTTTTGTCTTTGCGTGCACTCTTCTTCACCTCTTTGTCCAGTGTTTTATACATTGTACTTAGTTCCTCTTGTCGTTGAGCATCCTTTCACTGGTTTATCTTCTGCTTCACCATCTTCCATTCCCTCCTCTATCAGCTTCCATGTATCCATTGAGATCCATTCCTTGTCTTCTTTCTTCTTCGTTCCTAATGCAGTTGTGTAGGTTTCTTTCCACATCTCTTTCAAAGACTTCCAGAGATATTCTTTATATTTTTGTATATATATAATATATAAAACTGAGAAAATGAAGCCATAAATATACCAATCCTATAGGTTGTATGACTTCGAATTTGTCCAATCAGCTTATCTCATGTCAGTACATGCATAAATCATGATCTGAAACACAATTTCTGTATTGGCTACCTTTTTGTCGCTACGTATCAGTAATATCACAGTAGTTGGCATTTTTAGTTCAGTAAATAAACGTTAACGTGGCGTCTCAGCTACATTTTCTATAGTTGGTTGAAAATTTTTTGATTCGAAGTATCAATAGATGGTGATCGTAAAGTTGTGTTAACCTCTTTATAATATTTGCATTAAATTTACCTCATATTCTGTTTACTTTAAGACAGTTATTATCCTCTTCAGATTGATTTTGTTTCAATGTTATTAGAGCGAATTGTGAACTAAGCGATTTTTTCTTTCTAATCTTAGATACCTGATGATAAGAATAATATAACTTGTACAAAAGAACTGGAAAAATCTAATGAAGAGTTCAATCCTACATCTTCAGATGAAAAACTGTCTAATGCTGATAAATTATGCAGCAAAATTTCAGATGATATTGATGATGATAATGATGACAGTGATGAAAATATGAAGAAAGATGAAGAAGAAATCCTTGTGATTGTAAGTATCTACTTTCTTTTCTGTATATTTGTTTTCATTAAAAACTTGATAGGATACCCGTAGGGATCTAAGCAATTCTGGTATCCATACTTGTCTATTCCTTGAAATATCAGCTGATATTTTTAAGATCCATTCTCAATGAAGTAGGATTAGATTAGGAATACTATGATTATGACCGGGCTGAAATGCAGTAACAATCCGAGAGTTCTCTAATAGTTACTCTTAGCCATATAGATAAATGTCAGCCAGAGTGATGAGGCAACCGAAGTTATTGGTTCAAAAATCTGCATGATACAACCTGGAATCGATGACACGGGTAAAAATGCATTCATATCTTCTACGTTGATGTTCTGATGTGAACCAATAGGTAGTTTTACCATATCTTATTTTGATAATGTTTTCAGCATACACGTGTCAAGTTAGGTGAGTATTGAAATCAGAATTACTATGCAGTTTGCATAGCTCATGGTAATGATACATGTACTGGTTGCCGTTTTCATAGGCAAACAAACAAAAAGTCAACGTAGAACGTCGCACAGTAGTGTATCGGTTCAAGTAGACACACTTTACAGCAGCGTGGAAAGAACAGGTGGACAGAAGAAGAGTGATATCAAAGTAGACGAAGGTATATAGGAGGAGAAACAGTTTGATGGTGAAGGTTAGTGAAAATATTCCAGCTTTAGAAGATGTCAAGAAGTGAATACATGGACGCCACTGTGATCGAATTTCAGTCATTTCACCAAAGGTTTCCAACTAGTTTCTTTACTGATGAGTACCGATAAGCACGAAACCTAGGTCGAGCAGGGCTTTCTGCTGATTCCCTCCAACCAACTAAAACCACTTAGTTCACCTCGCTTTCAGGACCCAAAACTCGCAGTCTGCACCTCACGACATGACTCATGCTAACAATCATGGACTTTATGGGCTGGTGCTGCATCTTGATCTGGCCACCACTGATTTGATTTCATGCCTGATACTCTTTGCTTAACCTCGACATTGCTCATGCTGTGATTCGAGATTACTCGGGCAACGCTACAAATGCATCTGTAATTTCCCTACATCCATTTTTGACGACCATGTCTCAACCTTATAACCAAACAGAGTACACAGCATCACAGCTTACTCGTGCTTTAACAAGCAGTTAGCTATCTCACCAGTTGACGTCAGAGATGACATAATTTGGCGAATGTCAGACGAACCTTCTCTATCTGAGCTGAGGTTTCTTCAACCACTAACCCTTACGAGCTTATGTAACTCATCAAGTAAAGTAGACGACTCATTCCGCCGCTTCATTCCCTGTTATCAAACCGGTAGTAGTTGCAGATCAATCCTTGAGCATCATCTTACATTTAAAAGGTGTGAGCGAAGCGCATGCCAAACGTACTCAGATTTCTGATCAACGCATTCTAAGTACCCTGCAAGGGTTTTCGCCTAACAGGACATTATCGTCTACGAACTTTAAATTAACCATATGCTCTCCAGGGAATAGATCAACCCTTGTGAAGTCAGAGTTATTCAAGGTCGTTTCTATTGATGCATCTATAACGAAGTTGAACGGGAACGGTGACAGCAGGCGTCCCTAGTGTACACCATTAGTTGTCGTCACTTCAGATGACAACTATCCAATAGCCCTTACACAGCGTGAGTTCGAGTAGAGAGCTTTGGTTAGCATTACTTACTTGCTCAATACTTCTTCCACAGTCAGACACTGTTACAACACTTCTCGGTCACCATAGTCGGATACCGCTTTCGAATCAAGAAATATGACAAGTATCGACCTGATGAACAGTGAAATTCTGATCGACGCACCCTCGTTTGGGTCTGAAACCTGCTTGATTTTCTCGAGTTCTAGTTAGGCACTGGATAAATCTGGATCCCACAGTCTTAGAAGCAATGTTATTTGAACTGATTCCCCTGTAGTTGCCACAAGAAGACATCTCTCCTTTCTTATAAACTGAAATGATTGGTGAAGTAGACCAATATGACTAGACTACCTCTAGTTTATATACGCGCTCTCCCGGTACTTCCGTTATTCTACTCAGAAATGTCTTACCTCCGTGCTAAAAAATGTTGGGTGGCTAACCGGTCGGGTTCTGGTGCTTTGCGTCATTTCGACCCTTAACAGTCTTCTTAACCTCGTGGAGAGTTCGAGGGCCCAGATCAACGTACCATGCGAGTTCAGGCTGGATGTTGGGAAACTAAAGCTTTGTTGTAGGTCATTTGAACAGTTCTTCAAAGTGCACCGTTGAATGTTGCAGTCTGCCGTCTTCAAGCGTGATCAGGGGTCCACTCATTTAGACAACGACTTCACTAACCATCGTCTTTTTTTCCTCAGTGTCCTTGTTAATCTTAAGTGACTATCGAGTACTAACGATGGCTGATGATTTCTCCATCTCTTTCGCTTTTGTCACCTACCACTCTCCTCGTGGTTGTTGCAAAGACTGTGAGTCACTTTAAGTTTGAGTTTCTATCACTTCTCATTGTAGTCGGATCCAGCTGAAATGAAGCGTTTCTCACCAATCAGCCAGAACAAGGTTTATGAAATCTACTTGCATCTGCTAACATTTTCATATAGGCTACTAAGGCCCTCTTTATCGGAGTTGTTACATCAGACCAAATATTATTCTAGGCTTTATCAGAGAGAGATAACTGTCACCATGTTTAGATAAATGCTTAGTTATCTCCTCCCTAAATACACACTTGATATTTTCATCTTGCAGTTAAGCCCATACAAGCTCCAACAATGTCTGCTTTTTTCGCCCATTAAGGTGGACGTATTAACGTATGATTGGAGTTCTATTAGATATTTCAGGAACGGCGGTGATCTTTCAACTATAACTGATAGCAATATGATATATGTGTCTGAACCGTTGGTTTGATGTCTGCGGACGCCGAATGAGACTGTCTTTTTTCATGCTTAAAGTGAGTGGTAGTCAGAAACAGATGATTGTCTGAAGAAAATTGCAAGAGACACGATCATTGTTCGCGGTTCTTTCTCATGGGATACCGCAGATACTTTGAAGATGTTTTCTTGATAGGCTCGGCTTACCTACCTGAGCATTAAAATTACTCAGTAGTCTGACTACATCTGAACATTTTGATTTTTGTAGCGAAATTGACAGATTCTGTTGAAATTCATCTTTGTTATCATCCAAGCTGCAATGAGTTGGCGCGTAGGCGAAAATTATGAATAGGCGTTAGCAAGTATTACTTTCTTTTCTGGTTCTTACGAATCTATTCACGTGTAGCTGTTGACTTTTATCTAGTCGAGAAGTTCACTATCTGATCTACAGCTTATGGTTGGTCTTACACTATCATATTTGCAAAGCTACCCATTGAATCTCCTGACCTCGTGAAGTTAGGTTTATAAATTCATGACATTGACCAGACAAGGTCAAGTGAATAAACCACACTTATGGTCCTTTATATTTTTCTCAGAAGAACAACATTCGTCTGTGGCCTGGGATTTCAGGGTTTAAGCAATTGAAGCCTGTTTTTCTATTTGACAAAGGGTTCCAACGTTGTATGAACGTCTTTATCATTTAGGATTGACTGTCAAAAAGGATAACTGATTACTATTATGACTACATATATCCCTGCAATTTTGGAATTGTGGTGTTTATTTTGTTGTTAATTGCTTGCTAGTAGTTATCAGAGGTAGCCAGGATACGCATTTCCTCTTTTTTTTAGATCCATCAACTGGATGTGAGTGATAGTGTTCTCACTGAGTAGGATTCGAACCAGAAACCTACTGCTTTATGCACGAATGGATTCTTCACTAGACTACAGAGTCACATTAGCCAAATCTTTTGTATTCGATACCAGCTGTTATTTATTAATACTTGTAATTCTTTCCTGCATATTTTACTGAGCAAGTTAAGTGGTAATATCAAAGTTTTCTGTCCAAGGATCCATATGCCAGCAGAGACGTAATCACTTCATCCCACTGTAATAATTTTACAGTGCTCATGTTATGTCATACATTTTGTCACTACAGTTTTTCATCTCTCTATCTCTTCAGTAATCTAACTGGACAGCCAGTCTTTAGCTTTTATTTTACTATTTTCCTGGAACTCTTGTTTCTAGTGTTGTTCTACAACAAGAATACCAATCCGATAAGAGAGGTTTTGAAGTTAAGTCAAACTTATTTTGTGATAATTCGAAAACTGCTATCTACTATGACCGCTAATGATGCACAGATATCGAGTGTCAGCTACTGACGTCCAATAAATTCCTAGTTGATACCCAACCCGACTAATTAATGAAGAAGACATGATGGACGTACAGTATTGAGGTTGAAAGACCGAAGACCCTTCAAAAACAAAGTAAAATACAGCAGATATATAGATAATTCGCTGTTTACAATAATCCTATGGGGTTGGCTAATCTACCGTCTATCTATCTAACTGTAGACGTGATGACATAAAATACCTTTTGATTTGTCCCTCTCTAGACTCTTCTTTTCTCTTTATCCCTCATATAATTAAACTTGAAATAATAATTTCCATAGGATACAGTTTCATAATTAATAACTTCTTAATTGTAACGTAATTGTTAATTTACAGGAACCACCTCGTGAATCATTCACTCTAGTCGCAAAAGATGCTCAAGAATTAACTGACTTAATATCTATTCTACGTCAAGTATTACTTAACAGTCAAGAGAAATTGAATACAAAAAATGTCGATATCAATGATTTCAATTTGGATTCGGATTGTGAATATTCAGGGGATGTTGAAAAGGCAACAGAAGAAGTTATCAACGAACCAACAGCGAAGAAGAAACGTCTATCTGAACGGGATGGTACTATATCTCAGGTATGTTTCTATAGGTGGGTAATTTTGTATGCATTCACCTTTCAGTATGCATAACACTGAATAAGCTTCAGAAATAAAGAAAGACACTGTCTGATGTGACATCTATTGAGCTCAATTCAGCGATGGATACATTGCTATCTATCATCACTGAAAAGGGTCAGTGGAACGCTGCCGCTCCTTCTGGAGCACGTGTTTAGATAGCCATCATGCATTGGTTCGAGTACGTATGTGTCTGCATGTGACTGAACTCAAAAAAACTGTAGTAACAAGACCATTACGAATGCAGCTCCACAGTGAGAGCACTAAGGCCGTTTCCAGTGAGAAGTCTGCTCCATAGTTTTTGTAACAGAACAATATCACTCATCCAGATGAAGCTTGGCACCATCTTCATCTTCATCTATGAAAACAGCATTGAAGACCGTATGTGACTCTCAAAGAGTGGTTACAAAGAGCCAGTGGATCTCAGTCTCTTCTTCTTCTGAATGGATGGATGGATGCAGGCGAACGCATCCTTGCAGGCTCCGAATACATTGAGGAGCGAACGCAACTCAAATGTAGACTGTTGCAAGATCTACACATTGACCGGGAACATTGATGGGCGGTGAAAGCTAAAGAGATGGGGAAGGCAGTTGGGATGTGTAACAGTAGACAATTATTTCGACTTATTGAGAAGTTTGAGGCATAAAAAAGGTTAACGGTTAGTGTTGCTATGTCAGAGAAGAATGGGTCTGCGATTGACTGGCAGTGGAGACGACTGGAACGATGGGTGGAACACTTAAACGAACAGTTCGACTGACCTCCAGCAACTATTGCGTTGCCTGCTATCCAGTTGGATTCTGAATAGAACGTTGAGATAAGGCCTGTCAACACTTGCAGAAGTCGATAAGCGGTAGGTAGCTTGAAATGAGTAAGGTCAGCAGGACGAGATGGACTAGTTCTGGAGGTATTGACAGACGGTTGTTATGGCTTATTGGTCAAGTGAATTGTTAACTAGTGTATGGTAGTCAGGTATGATTCTTTGTAACTTGTTTCAATCACTGATTATCCAATTCTTTAAGACAGGCGAGAAGTGCGGTTGTGATAACTACAGGGAGTTAGGATGACGCACATATTATATAACACCCTATGTTGTATAATCATTAGACGTTTGAATGGAACTCAGAAATAGCAAGTTCTTGGAAACCAGGTAGTCTTCAAACTTGGCCTTGGGTATATCGACCAAATATTCACACTTGGCTAGGTTCTGGGACACAGGCACGCTTACCGACGCAGGACAGTAGCTATTTTTCGATCTGAAGCCAGCGTTCGACCTCATCGATCGAGACGTATTATGATAATGATGAATTCCGAGTCAGAGCTTGATTATGCTGACCGATTGCATTGTAGACTCCCAAATGATCAATGGTCTGTCAGGTTTATATGTCTTCTAACCTAGATGCTAGAATATCAATCAGGGTCAATGAAAATTACTTAACTCCAATTCTCTTGTTGTTGTTTAACTTTATTCAGCTAAATGCATTTTTGCCATCTGTTCAATGTTTGTTTTATTTAAATATCTCATTTTCTCACTGTCTACCTTTATTCTATTGATAATCATCTAAAAAGCAAACAACACGTGCGCATAATGCAATCGGATCACTTGAACGTCTTATACAAAATTTAGAACAATTATATCAATCAGTAATGAATCGAGAAAGTGAACGTGTTGAAGCACAACGATTGGCTAGATTACGATTACTTAAAGATGTTGAACAATGGGAAGAGAATGAAGTAAGTTTCATGAGATAAATATATTCATCCTTAGTGTATATGCATACATATGTGTGCAGATATCATTTTCTTTCATTTTAATCTTAATGATACTACTTGGCTTCATAGACTTCATTAGGTGGGACGGGGTTCGAACCCGTGACCTATTGGTCGAAGATTATCTCTTTATACCAATGACCCAAAGCTGTGCACATGTATAAACTAACTATCAGAAATAATTGTTTTATCTGGCTTCATCATAACAGCTAATATCTCAATAAAGGTGTGGATATAATGGACTCGTGATTTGAGTATATCAACCAAACATTATTTAATATATCTAATAGTTTCTCATCTACAAAGTGAATATGAACTTTTGTGAAAACAATCAAAAATTAACAAATTAGACCTTAAAATTCGATAATAACGGTTTACTAGGCTGCTTTTTTAAACATGAAAAACAACTTTCAAAACTCATAACATGGTAAATAATTTGTGTTAGAGCAAGTTATTACTTGGAACAATGCATGAAAAAGAAATAATTTGGCAAAAGGTTTTTTAATTGCATGAAGGTTGTAGCTAATCAGCCCATCATCCATCCATCCATACGGTGGTCAAGACATACCAGACCTATATGTGTCCACCTCGGGATTTGTCTTATCATTATTCTCATAGGCTGATATAGTAGAATCCATCAGTCAGTCAATCATGATTGAGGCTGGAGATTTGTGACTCCTTGATCGAAGAGGTTGACTTTGGATCGGTTGGTCATGGAATTAAACCTTACTCCATGTCTGAAGTATCAAGATAGTATACTAACCTGTCAAACGACATATCTTACTCATTGTGTAGTGCAAGAATATGTTTATTGAGAGAATTTAGTTAGAATACTACGGTAAAAAGGGAAAATGATTCCAGTCTTATTGATGATTCATGCATTATCTTATTGTTGAAGATTAACCGAAAATAGATTCCTTTTTTTTTTGCTTGATGTTACTTTTCAAAAACTCGGAATAAAGTACGGGGAATTGTGTTGTAACCAAAGGTTACTCAGACCTCTATTGAATAGTCATATTGAAACGATGTAGTCTTGTTTTTTTTTTTTTAGTATGTAAACATGATACAGAGATAATTCTGGCTACAATTAGTTCTGACTTGGAAAGTAATTAATTGGGTGGATTTCTTCTACCAATTCACTTATTCATAGAGTTTTAGCAGATTCAATGACGTGGTAGTTTACTAAGTTATTATTATTACTTTTCATTGATAGGATAGACAAAAAACTGCAGAATGATGGTCACTGATCTCAATTCTGAGTTATGTCTACCATCGTCTTAAGCCACTTAATTGCATAACCTCTCGGACTCCATCCAGTGAGTTAGAAGGCATTAGCCATCTCTCCGCCTCCTGCAACCAGTCCCATGGCAAGCGAACAGCAAGCAGTGTGGGAAACGCTTGGACGATATGGATAACATATGTCCGATCCGTCGAAACGGTGTTTTAAGAGAACCACACTCATGTCTGTCACGCCCTACGTTAACCTCGGAATTACTTATATGGTGTTTCCACTGAATGGGAGCAATATTATGAAAAAAACGGTGATGGAAACACAGAGTCGTCGAGCATTCTCAGCTGGTTGAGGCTAAGTTTTATAAGCGTAGAATAAAACTGTCTGATTTAATGCTTCGTATACCCTACCTTTTAAAGGAAGGTTAACATCAGGACAGTGTTGAAAGTGATCTAGATCGGTATATGCCACTCTGGCTTTCTATTGACTATTGGAAAGCTCATCAGTCACACCTTCATCAGCATTCACGCAACTACTTCAATACATAAGATTTTCGATAACTTAGCTGAAACAGACTTCCGCCAATCTTTTAGAAGCACGTTACACTTTGGTGATGCAAAGCACATACCATACTTATGAATACTGGTTGTCAACTGATTAAGTGCTATTTGAGTAAGTATTTATGTTGTCTCACGGTATGATAATATTATCCGCTTTTTGAGATCGAAAAGTCTTTCACCTGGTAACAGGTCTACGCTACCGCCACTCATTTCTTCTAAAGCTGTCTCTAGAGTGTCATCAATGGCAAAGTTAAAGAGGAATTGAGAGATTCGACAACCCTGCTTAACCCCACTATTGGTATGGATCAACAGGATAAGTGGCTATTTGCATTCAGTCTATTTAAGGTATTGAGGCTTACGACTTTCAAGATAGTAACATTTCAGTGGCACCCTCTTTTACAGACAATTTCAGAATACAACCCGTTCCAATAAATCGAAGGCAGTCCTAATATTGTCAAAGACTATGGTGATTAGTTTGTAATGTGTGTCGGTATTCAAGTATTCAACGATGGGTGAATGCATGGTTAATACGTCCACTACCTGAACAAATCTTGACATGCTGTTTAGGGATCCAATTTTCGCTTGCTTCGCACAGCTTGCATGGTATGATCTCAGCCAACACTTTAGACGCTATTGGCAGCAGAGTGATACCCCGATGATTGTCACATACATTGTGTTAACTCTTTTTGAAGATGGGCGCAACAACGACTTAATTCCAGAGTGTTGAAACGCTTTCAGTCTGCCGTACCTTCTCAAAGAATGTAGTCAGTCCGCTGACTACGATCCCACCTCCAACCATAAAGAGAGCGGGATTAGGTTATCTGGGTTGGGCGTCTTATAGTGCTTGGAGTTCCTTAAGGACCTCTTCTACTCTAGGTGGATTAGCGTTAATTGAACATCTAGAACCAGACGTTGAGTTTTGATGTTTCTAGGCTTGCTGAACTGCTTTATGCCGAGTGTTCGAGGCATCTACGAGAGTCAGTGATCGGCGTATCATCTACTTCACAAACTACCTCACTGAAACTAGGCTTCTTGCTACCATTAGCTTGAATAAACTGGAATAACTCCGTACTATTGCCGGATGCAGCTACTGCCTCAATTTCGCTCACGTTTCTGAACACTAGGCCTCTCAGTTGTTGCTTGAATATTGTTTGATCAATTGCGTAAGAGACTTACGCACACTGTCGCACTCACTGCCTACCGGAATACAGCATGAACGTCAAGAAATTGCAAGGAGCTAATAAATATTCAGTGCTTATCAGTGGAACGTTTTCAAAGCCGCGGGAAGCATTTTCGCTGTTTTCGTCGCATCTTGGGAGTGCAGCCGATGCTGATTCATACATTCTATCGGTTCGACAGCTAATCTTGAATCTGCTTCGGTTTGATACTTATTCGCAATACTAGGTGGAACTAATTTTCTGACCTAGACCGTTTTGGATGACAATATTGATGTTCGTTACATAGCAAGACGAACTGAGTGTGATCTGAGTCCACACAGGTGCTCCAGAAATAGTAGCTGTCTGAATACATTTACACCACCGGTAGCTGGGTACAATATGGTCTATTTAACTTCAGGTTAGAGTGGTAGGGAAATGACTCCAACTAGCACATTGGCTGTGACTTTGTCGAAAGTTAGTACTAGCTAGTGACAGGTTGTGATCTGTAAAAAGTTTTGAGAAGTTCTCTATGATCTGACCTGCAAACGATTAGTCCTCATTAGTCACCTAAATTGCTCTCCTCTGTGCTTAGATACCCGAACTCTACATTCAATTCCCAGCTATAACTAGGATATTTGTTGAGCACACCTGGTAGAGAAGGTCACTCAGCTGATGGTATAACTCATTCTTACTGCATCCACGCTTCAGTAAGCTGGGATATACGCAGAGATGATAAAGAGATATCGTTTTCCTTGCCGATCACTTCTCACTTGAATTGACGTTCTAGCCTAGCAACATTCAGGCCACTGTTGATGAAAACTCAGTCGACTAGTGTACCTTCGACTCTGGTAAGTAGTGCAAGATCAACAACAACAAGATTAGCTGCTGACGCCATGAGTTCAGCAAATAAGCACACTATGAATACACGTTTTAAGCTGACAAATAAGGAAGTTATTTGAAGCATCCCATTGAGATCTTTAATGCGGATTTCTCGAATACATTGCCTACATCGATGATGAGGTTTTCTAGATTCTTAGCTAAACCTATCTGTTGTCCCTATGCATCATCGTCTGAATGTTAAAGACGGCCAACTTAAGCTGTGTGCACAGTCTCAAAGTAGTTGTATCAGATATTGTAAGGAAAAAGAACGTTTTAGAAGATGGTTTTTCGCGACTCAATGTGGTTGAAGGGAGATAAAACCTTTAGTCAGTAACGAGTTGCTGAGTGAAACAAGGATATGTATGAAAATAAATCTGGCAAGGTAGACGATAAGATGGAGTATTTCAGCTTTAAAATTACGATGATACAAAAACAATAAACTGGATGATTAGGTGGAGGATGTGTTGCGCAATTTGTTTTGTTTTATGCAAGAAGATTTGCTGAACACTTAAAAGTCTTCATTGTTAATGTTAATTCATAAATTTTATGTTGGTTGTGATACTGCCTGGACATCCAGACCGAAGCAGGTGGTTGTCTAACACGACTTCTGGCCAACAAGGCAGTGAGTTGCTGCATTCCCATGTTACCGGTAACTAAGATATGTTCATACACCAATCCTATGTTCTGAATGATAGGTCGCCAACAGTTTGAATCAGTGTTTTCCAGCTCCCTTAAGTGTACTCACCTTGTGCACCAATCCAGTTATACTACCGAGCGTTCGCTTTTACCCTCTCACCATTGTGGAAAAACTACCCATCAGGTGAAGGAAGTGAATAAGACTTCCCTGATCAGAGATAATGACTGAAATCATCCAACCCTCAGCTATGTCAAAGTGTTTGGTAGGCTTGTTTCCGAAATCATGGAATGATTGAAAGTGATCTCATTGGCGTTAATCTATTCATCATGTTAGCAAGATATCCAAAGTATCGAAGGTGAAGGAGATGTGACAGCGTTTTGAGTATGGAATCATATATGTCGTCGAAATATTTTATTTATGTGCATTAGAATTATTGAGTTTACGGGGAGTATGGTTGAATCAAAAGTTGTTGCATATTTTGTTACCATTACCTGTTTAATCGTGCTACACGAATTCAGGATAGTGTTACACTGTGAATCACCTTCAGATGAATTTCACTATTGAAACTTTGATCTGTTTCTTACTGGGAGATTGTTTCAGTATAGGTGAGGGAACTGATTATCCCAAGAGTATATCTCCTGTGAAGTGTACGCAACCTCAACTAGAAAGAAATTTTTATTATGATTACCGTTCTTTGGTGGAATAAACTTATTCCGTAACCTTTTTTTTAATGCTTTATTCATATTCGAAATTTTTATTTATTTCAACAGGCTAAGAAGAATATGAAACAGTCATCAATTACTAGTGAAGATAGTCAGATCAATGTAGTATCTCACCCTAGTCTCATACCATCTTTTCAAACGGATTCATCAAAAGATCGTACTGAAAGACATATGAGACGTGAACAACTTCGAGCTCGAGGTATGTTAGAAGAAGATGAAAGTGATAGTGAACATGATGATTTTCATCAACAAGTTGACAATAAAGAGCCTATGAATTCTGTGAAACAACCTAACAATTCATCATCTTTATCAAGAATTACTCGAACTGGTGTTACTACTACTACTACTACTACAACTACCAGTACTATTTCTAACAGTATAATGAATGGCAGTGGTAGTAATCGAAAGAGTATAAATGATACATGTTATGAAGCATTTACAATGCGTATCAGTGAAAGTGGTAATCCTAAAATTCCTATATCAAGATTTTCTGTCGAAGAGTCATTGCCAAAAGTTCGCCGATCTGCTCTACTAACACCAAGTAAAACAGTTTCCATATTACCTAAACCAACATCCTGTTCAAAGTTGACTAGTACAACTACTACTGTGACTACAAAAAACACAACTCATAATAGTAGTGATTATAAGAGTTTGACTGATTATTCATATTCGCGTGTATCGAATTCACCATTCAGATCAAATACATCTCGTACGCCTTCTATCCTACGGCCTAGTATGCCTAGAACACAACCAATCACTCATCATCCCAATGGTTTATCTGTTTCTTTATCTTCTCCATTGTCACATAATAATATGTCGTCAATTTCAGTCACTCCATCGAAGCCACCTATTCGAAAAATCTATCGTGTTTGTAACACTTTGTTTACGGAAGATGCGAAACCTGTAAAAATAGGTCCAAATGGCTTTTTAATCCCAATACCACCAGATAGTATTCCACTGAGTCAACGACAGTTAGCACGTCAAATGATCTCTCGTTATCATCAACATATGAAATCAGCTTCATCATCATCAACAACATCATCACTATCTCAAACTGATGCAATATCAGCAACGGGATCTAAACTAACCGGCACAACATCAACAGTTTCATCAGTCTCTTCTTCTACTCAAGGAGTATCTCAAAGTTCAGTGGCAATAGCAGTTCCTTCTGTAGCAACTGAATCAGTCAAACCATCCATTGTACCACAAGAGGCAAATTATCCTCGTTTATCGATAGGTAGTCCTGTTAAGTCGTAGGTATATCTATATAATAGCTGGAATCGTCTATACTACTACTACTACTACTACTACTACTACTACTAATGATGGTAAAGAAATGCATTATCTACACAATTCCATGTGTTGTTACTTTCACTCTTCTTTTATCTTGTCCATCATCTTCTTTCAACCCTTTATATTCAATCTTGTAGATGACCTGCCATAAAATGTAACTGTAATGATAGACACAGTGATTCTGTCTACTTGAAGGGTTACTCTTGATGGCTGATTGTTCATTTATCTTCTTTACCCCTTCTCTCTCTCTCTCTCTCTCTCTCTCTCTCTCTCATATGCCCATTATTTCAATTCGAAATATCAATTGTCCAACTGTTTTTGCTAAGGTTTTTATAATTGATTTGATTTATGTCTTTATTTGTTTTGTTTACTTTTGTTTTCTGTGTTTCAACCAACATTTTCACACTTCTCTATGTGATTGGTCTGATCATACACACAGAGAAAGTCATAAGTGATGATAAGGGATTTGTTGTTTATTCAAATTGTGTATGCGGAGTAGCGGTCATATGGAAGATGATATTTTTAATCTATTTGTCAATTCATTGTTTGACTAGATTGACCAAATTAACTGATACATATGTGTGTGAGTGTGCGCGCATTTATTTCAGAGTTTGCATTGTTTTGTACATAAAATATGAACACAGTATATTCTTATCAGTTTTGTTGTATATCTCTTGTTGTTTTCTTTAAATCCTATGGATGACTATCGTGCCTTAGTAGATAACTCTTTGGTGTTAGCGTCAGTCGTAACAAAATCACTCCTCACTGGGGTGTAGACACATCCGGCTGACGAGTCTCAAATAGGACGAAACGCGCATCCTTCATTCCCATGCTAGTCATCAAGATCAATATATGCTATGGTTAGGTAGTTGAGTAGTTTAAAGCATGAGCTACTTAATACCTTGTGGTGTCTAGTTAGTTTCATAACAGTTACTATCGGCTTGCTTAACTTGTTAAGAGTATCCATAGGTGGGAATAAAAACTGGAGAGGAAGTCAAATACATACCAGTTTGCTCAAAAGGTTTGGTTGGAACTAAAGTCTTTATGGAACGTACGCGTAGACGAACACTGCTAACTTTGGTTGCTAACCTTCATCAGTCTGAACAAAATGTTTTAAATATATGTAATAGTCATTGGTTGCAATAGTTTTAAGATGGTAACAGTGTTACTGCTTTATATGGATAGTTTTACACATGGGAAATAGGCTGTTGTTAATTAGAGTAGACAGTCTGGTAATGTCGATAGTTCTTGAAATAATTTGTATATCGTGATTAAACAACCTAGCTCAGAGAACACAATACAACTAAGCTCATCCACCTGAGCTATACACATTCTCCATCATATCAAAATCATACGAGCGCAATACGCTTCTTGTTGTTCGAAGATGGGAGGACTTCTCCAAGAGGCAAGCTTTCACAAAAGAACACCTATTCTTTTTCAATGAGTGCTTATGTCAGCATGTTCTGCCGAAGAGCGTCAGATATAGACCACCGATTGATTTTCAAATGGGATAGAAAATAGCTGAACAAAGTGGAAGATAAGTGGTATAATTGATGATCACAAATGTGCATCATCGGGTTGAGAATCACGATTGAACAACCTAGCTCAAAGAGAAAAATACAACCAAGTTCTTGATAATTCATTTAAATGGTAGGCTTCCATTAGTTTCTTCCTTTGTTAGTTTGTTTGTTTTCAGAATTTTTTCTGTCCTTCAGCGCATAGCTCTGTGCCTAGGTTTTGTGCTTATCATATCCAAATCTTTGAGGAGATTTTTATCTATTTAGACTGTAAACCTGCATCGTTCAATTCCAAATTCAAAGACTCTGCTTGACTGACTCCTAAAATCTGACAGCAAAATACAATGTTGTATCATATAACTTAGTGGATAAATGACAAACTTAATCTATGGGCTTGAGTCAGTTTTGAGTATTTAAAATCTGATAGGTAAATTGCTTATCCTGTGGTGGTGCTCTCATGTGAATTATGTATCACCACCATCACTGTAACTCTTTAAACTCTGAACAGTATAGAATGCAAACCAGGCTTTGAAGGCTGTGGTCAGGAGTATTCATAGAAAGGACTTCCTCCTCGGCAATAATTGAATCAATTTTATACCTAAGTCGGGCAAACCCCTTGGTGATTGAAGTGAAATAAAATTCTGGTCAGCAGTCGGACCTCGTAGCTCAGTTGGTAAAGCACCGGGCCGGTGGCCACTGGTTCGAATCCGGCTGCGGTCAAGACTTTCATCTCACCTTCAATCGTCACCCAGTACAAATACTAGTCTGCCAAATTATGGCTATCTCAGGTAGTCAAATTATAATCAAGATGATGTTCCCCCTCTCTGATTCAGTTAGATTTGAATTGGGATGAGAAGTCCTGACTAGGCAGCCAATGTGAATACGACCAAGCGGTAGTAATGCGTCACGAATCGACATGGTAGTCGGGAAAAATCCCTGGTGATTGAAGTGAAATAAAACTCTGGTCAGCAGTCGGACCTCGTAGCTCAGTTGGTAGAGCACCGGGCTGGTAAGCCGGTGGTCTCTGGTTCGAATTCGGCCGTGGTCTAGACTTTCATCTCACCTTCATTCATCATTCAGTACATAAGTGCAAATTCATCGTTTTCTGTGTTTATTGATATTGCGTCGTTTGACTCCTCGTCTGTATTCTTGGATATGAAGGTAGTGACAGTTTCTAGTCTGTAATGTTCATCGCGTTTGATTCACTATATCTGATAGTTTATTTCAGAGTTGTCTTAATTTTACATCGCATCCTTTAATCTGGATAATAACAACATAGAGAGATTGTGTAGTCGTTAGATAAATCATATTGACTGCCTTAAATACATAGTCAACATCTCATTTGTACAAGTTGACGTTGGCCATCAGTGAACAAAGAAATGGAATTGAGTTTAGTAAATAATTAGTACAAATCTTAAACTGAATGACTACTGTGTAAATGTATTTGAGGATTGTTATCAGCATCAATCTATACTCGAGAGACATTGATACAAATGTGTTTTACTATCATGTTGGGGCGAGGCTAAAAGTTATCCCCAGGTGTTATCGTGCCCATTTTAAGTTTTAGTGTTGTTTGTAGAAATACAAACATTTTCTATGTTCTGTATTAATATTCTACCTATTTACATAGTTTTTACAATGCCATCTGTCATTGAATCATGTTTCATACCGTTTATTCATGTGCAAAATGTTGTAGCCATGGCTGCACTACCATTTCTTAGACGGAAAGTAAGTACAGTTATTCAAGAAGAATGAGGCTTACCAGATCACAGTAAGTTAACTGAGGCTTCAAATTACATCTGAAAAGATTTATGATTGGCTTTTTGACTTCAGAACTTTTCCATACGGAATACATAAAGTACATATTTTCAAACAGAATTCCATAACACCTGAGGATAACTTTTAGCCTCACCTATCATGTTGTCGTTATAAACTTGAACAGAAGGCTAGAACTGTATCACTGAATAAGTAAGCCAATTAACTATAAATCATCTTATTTTAAGGCATTTTGTAATGTAAAGAATTCAGTTTTTTATAAATATGATATTTGATTGAAAAAGGGAATGAAAAAATAACACAGTAGAGAATATCCAATACCAAGATAATAATAATTATAATTATAAAATTATTACAATAGATTGATAAAATAACTTCGCCATGGAAACAACTTATTTTATTCATTATTCAATTCATTGAATATATTTTTTATTCTCCAAGTAGTGCAAGAAGTAATTTACGAAAATCACCTGATGTATCTTCTCTGACAGCTTCAATCAAAGGCTTTCCAAAGAATTCACGATACATTGACTTCAATGTATTCATGTCATTCTAGGTGTAAAGAAGAAAATGAATAGATTGATGAACAAAAATAATTGTGAATATAAAAGTGATTTTAAATGATAATGGTGTTCAAAATCATCAACCTATATAGTCTTCTAGAGATTATTATATGTGTAAAACTACTACCGGAACAGTCTGGATTCAGTAAGTGCAAATCATGTACGGACCAAATTGTAACGCTATGCATCATCATAGAATAGAGTATAGAATGGCAGTCAACTCAACTCTACCTCAACTTCATTGACCTTGAAAAGGCCTTCGACAACGTCGACTGAGAAGTAATTTGGCAAGCAGGTGCTTCAACACTATGGAATACCACAAACCTTTATCAATCTCATCCAACAACTATATGAAGATGCCATATGACAAGTAATTCACAATGGGAAGCTCAGTGATGCTTTTGAAGTGAAGACAGGAAGGAGTAAAACAAGGCTGTCTACTATCACCCATGATATTCCTGATTGTGTTGTAGTGGACTGGATCATGCAACAAACAGTGAGAAGTGAGAAGAGGGGGATACACTGGCTGGACCGCGGAAAAGAAAGTAGAAGATTTGGATTTCGCCGATGACTTATGTCTAATGTCACTCAAACTTGAGGATCTACAGGCGAAAACTAACAAGTTGACAGAAGAGGCAGGTTAGCGAAGACGGCACTTCAAGTGAATATAGAGAAGACAGAGGTGATGAAGATACCCAACCAACAACAACAAACTCCAATCACCATCAACAGGAGAAACTGAAAGGAAGTAACCTCCTTCACCTATCTAGGAAGCACTGTTTTAACTACAGGCGGTACAGGCACAAACGAGGATGTCAAAGCCAGCCAGGATCGGAAAAACAAGACAGGCGTTCATTAGCCTGAAACCAGTGTGGAGATCTGCTTCACTGCACTCAGCATGTGGAACAACATCCGGATTTTCAAAACTAAGTCTGTCAAGTAAGTCAATGCTTCTGTATGGTTTAGAGACTTGGCGCGTTACGAAAAGCATTTCCAACAAACTATAGATATTCATCAACAACTGCCTACGCTGGCTCGTTACTGAAACTGAAGATCAGATGGCGAGAATAGTAAGAATAAGCAACAAGGAACTCACTCTGGGAACGAACCAACCAAGAACCTATCACCCAACAAATATGCAGAGGAATAAAGTGGAGATGGATTGGGCATACACTGAGAAGTCCATTCGGGGACGTCACGTGCCAGGCACTCTAGTGGAACCCAAATGGGAAATGGCGAGTTAGGCATCCGACGTGAGGGTGACATGGAGGAGATCGTGTGAGGAAAATAAGTGAGAGCTGGTGGGCAGTGGTGGAGCCAGGTTAAAAGAGAAGAGAGTGAAATGGCGATGTGGTAGTGAAGCCCTAAGTTTCACTAGGAACCCAAGGGATAAATAATAATGTGTGTAAAACTTGAACACTAGTAGAATTTAATTCTGTTTTAGATTTGTTTATTTGATTTATAACAAGACACAGCGTTACAGTATTATATACTGGATGACGTTTCAGGCATCAATTATCAATGCTCATAATGATATCAATGTAATTACACCCCCTTTGACATCTGATTTTTATAGCCCTTTCATTGCTTATTCTTTGTTTCTATCGATGATGAAATTTTCCATGACTCTGGTATAGTTGTTGCGCCATTCTTATTATATGTATTGGGTGTTGGTTGATTCGATGAACAAAAATTCAGTAGTCAATCTCTCCCCGTCTTCATCTAATTATATTGAACTTGAGTACAGTATAGGCGAAAACTAACAAGTTGACAGAAGAGGTGTGGCAGCGAAGATGGGACTTCAAGCGAACATAGAGAAGACAGAGGTGATGAAGATACCCAACCACCACCAATAACAACAAGCACCAATCACCGTGAATGGCAGAAATCTGAAGAAAGTAGTCTCTTCCACCTACCTAGAGAAAGCAGCATCGTTTTAACTACAGGCGGCGGCACACATGAGGATGTCAAAGTTAGGATCGGAAAAGCAGGCAAGACGGGCCTTTATTAATCTTGAATCAGTGTAGAAATCTACTCCACTTCACTCAGCGTAAAGAAGAAGATTTGAGTTTTCTACACTGATGTTAGTGAAGTCAGTGCTTCTATGTAATGGTTGAGAGATTTGGTGCTTTACGGAAAGCATTTCTAACAAACTACAGACATACATGAATAGCTGCCGCCTACACATTCGATACTGAAGATGGAGATCAGAGGGCCAGAATAATAAGAATAAGCAGCAGGGAACTCTGGCTGGCTGGAGACGAATCAACCAAGAACCTATCGCCTAACACACATGCAGAGGAAGAAAGCGGAGACGGATTGGATTGGACATACACTGAGAAGACCGTTTGGGGACATCACGAGTCAGACCCTTAAGTGGAATCCAAATGCGAAACGACGAGTTGGGCTTCTGAGGTGAGGGCGAAGTGGAGGAGATTATGTGAGGAATAAATGAAAGCTTGTGGGCAGTGGTTGAGTCAGGTTAAAAGAGAAGAGAGTGAAATGGCGACGTAGTAGTCAAGTACTATGTTCCACTAGGAACCCAAGGGACCAATAAAAATAGAAATACAGTGGTTGTATCCCCCACCTTATTGTGTTGTTGTGTGTTGATGAATGCATTGCAATAGCCGAGTGTTTTTCTAGATTATTAATTTTATTCTGGTCGATATTTCTATACTTAGTTAAATTCCTGAGTCTTTCTTTTGTCGAATCAACACCCAACACATGTAGTAGAAATGGCGCAACAACTATACCAGAGTCATGGAAAATTTCATCATCGATAGAAACAAAGAATAAGCAATGAAAGGGCTATAAAAATCAGATGTCAAAGGAGGTGTAGTTACATTGATATCATTATGAGCAATGATAATTGATGCCTGAAACGTCATCCAGTATATAATACTTTAACGCTGTGTTGTTATAAATCAAATAAACAAATCCAATATGGAATCTCCTGGAGATTGTATTAAACTTTATTTAGAGTTGTGGTTGATTGGTGTAGATGTTTAATTGCTGAATGCTCGGTCACATGGCTTGTCTTCTACTTTGAGTTAGTTAAGTTGAGCAATTGGGTAGTATCTAAAAGTTTGATACATTCAGTGTGTCTTATAAATGAAGCTATTGTGTTGCATATTGCAGTTCGATTATTTTCATTGTAGCGGTATCAATACTACATACATGTTTTTAATTAGGTTATGGATAACGATTCTTTTATCAAAGATGAAGTTATTACTCGGTTATTTAGATGAAAATAAATATGAGCGTCTTGTGGATATTGTGATGTTTTGATCTTGGAATCGTTCAAACGAAGTTCTGTTTGTCTTATATTTCATACTGAGTATCATTTTTCTCTACCGTATCGAATTCGTAGCTGGTTCTATAATCGATTGGGTTCATTTCAAACTGACTCTTAAACTTACGTAATTTCTCGAAATCACCTATGAACTACTCATTGCACAGCATATTTAGTATTATACAGTCATGTAGTTGTTATTTGGCTTGCTATCTAGTTAATACCTACCGGACAATAGACCGGGAAACTAAAATAATGCAGTTTAATGTTTGGGTAATCTATACAACTAGAGGAAAAGCGGTTGGGGCAAGTAACGAGATATGATAAAATGATTGAGAGGAAGATATGGTTACATCTACGATACTGCTACCAATATTGAGTCATATCATGTGTAGTTTCCAGCTGTTGGTTTTTGGTTATCATGTGGATTTTGACGTGGAATTTTAGGTTTCCCTACACGGTTTACATTAAAAGCCATTGAATGATGCTGTGTATGTAACACACTGTCAGGTTATATGAAGCAATGAACGCCTATGATCCCTTATCAACTCAGCTACCTTGAACTAAACGCCTAATGTTTGTGTTCTTCATGTAAGTGTTCTGCCATATGCTGTTTATTCTCAGAAGGTAAAAGTGATGGGTTTGTTAGAGCTATACTAGATCAGTATTATACTTTATTGTCATGTTTCGCAATGATACAGGAAGACAAAAGTAATTACTATGAAGTATACTCCACCTTTTTTTGATAATCTAATTTTTCCCTTTGAATCAAGTGATTTTCAGTCTGTCACTGAAAGCCTCTTATCACCGCTTTCTGATGTAATAGAATTTTCCTTTGAGGGGGTAACACTTTTAACCAAGAGATATTTCTGAGTAACGTATAAGGCAACATTCTCACTGGATCTCCTACATGTATAGATGTGGCTATTGAAGATTGGACAGTGAAAAAGCTGAAGTCGTATCAACTTTAACTACTGAATAAATGTATAAGTAGTATATAGTAGTGTGACTAAAATTGATGAGGATGGGGACATGCTGGTGGTACAGCAGCAATTAGACAGAGACGAAGCTAAAATTCCAACTATTATCTTATTGCACAGTTAGAAAATGTATAATTATTAGTCAGCTTGACATTTTGATAAGAAAAACAATGGAATATATGGTGGGTGTTTTTTGTTCTAATTGCGATAACACTTTCAAACCAGTGAATGCTGAATTCTCTATTGAAACCTGAACTGATTTCCTGCCTTATAAACTGGACTACTTTTTTAATTATTATCCAATAGGCTATAAAGTTACTGAAGTCCCATCTTCTTTATACGATATTGATCACCACTAAAAAGTATAAAATATACTGACAGAGAGTGACTAGTTATTACATGGAAATGAACAGCACAACATTTGAAGGTAGGTTTACATTACTACAGTAAAAACTGTTAATTCTGAGTGACTATCGACTTAAGTACTGTTGTTATTGAATAAATATTTTTCAATAGATTACTCACCTCACAACGTAGACAAACAATTCGTATCAATGTATCTTCTCGTGTCCCTAATCCATACATGCTATCATATAACTGACAGACTAACAGTAAACGTAAATCTTTAAGCGCCATAACTAAAATAAATTTAGAAAGAAAAATGAATAAAGATGGTTTTTATCTGCAAAATGGTGTGTCTGATTGACTTTATGACTTGATGTCTAAAAGGTATGTAGGAGAAATGTAGAAAAAACAAAAAAATCTTGTCTTCTTGGTTAACATTTCAGTTTGTTGCAATTCAATCGACTACATTCAAGATAAGGAGTGAGAATACACTTTTACTTCAGTAGTTAATATCAAGCTATATGAACAGAGAGACAGATAAAAATCAACGTGGGACCTTGCACACATTTGCAACTGTTCAAAATGTCATAATTCACAGTAGTACGCAAAGAACAGATGGACAGGAAAAGTGATATCAAAGTAGGTAAAGTTGTATGACAATAAACAATCTGATGATATTGTTCAGTGCAAATATTCCAGCTTAAGAAGATATCAAGTAGTGAATACATCTGCACCGTTGTGACCAATTTTCAGTGACGTCACCAAGAACTATCAACCATAGATTACTTTCATCTTGGGGAGCCAAACCAAGAAGTCTGCATCTCCTGACACCGCCCAAGTCAACGCTCAAGCCGCTTCTTGTTCTGACCATCCTGAGTCATCTCCTAACCTAATCCAACTTCCCCTAGCATGAAATTGAGGTAGGTGGTGTGTCAGGTTGCGCAGTACATCTTAGTCGACTAGGATTCAAAATCTCATCAATCTACTAACCTGCCTTGCCTAGTACTCTTCGACTGACCTCCACATTGCTCAAATGGTGATTCTACAACATGCGAGCAATGGTACGAAGATATCAGTGGTCAAAACCCTGCAGCCATTTCGTATTTTCCACTTCTAATGGCCATACCTAACAACTATAGAACAGGACAGAATGGACTGAAGCGCAGTATATATTCCAGGCTGTATCATAAGCTGACTGGAGGTGCGAAATGTTTATCCTCGGGATCCATGCCATAGGAAATTAATATTTTATCTGCCAATCTAGAAGAATCCATAGTGACCAGTACTGGTAAGTAGTGAACCAAGACAGTTTCCTCATCGTGTTTCGGTGTGCCAGTGCAGGTTGTTTCTTCACGAAAACCATTAGGAAGTGAAGATGGGTACTCAACGACAGCCCTAGATGAAGGTTACACTATTTCTTGAATTGATGGAAGTAAGATAATGTTGACGATTGAACGCTGACCTGGTGGGTCAATGGTGACATGCTGGTCATGGAACCTGAAGGAAATGATTTCGATTCTTGATAGGGTTGTGGTTGCGAACTGATGAATAGTCCCTTACTAAGATGAAACAGCTGTTTCGTACTTCTAGGTTCTCAATCGATCTCCAAGTGATTTCAATCTGTAATGAATAGCGACTTGAGAATTGTACAAAGAAAAAGACTGGTATCAAAACAGACAAAGTTGTGTAAGAGAATAAACAGTCTAAAACTGAAGATTAGTGCGAATGAATATAATAGAGGCTGTGAGCTGCTTTCTATTTGTGTTGTCGTTATTATTCGTACTTATGTTACTGTTATTATTTCGTTTCTTGTGTATTAGAACAAATTTCTTAATAAGCTGCAGAGGATAATATTAGCGCTTCTTTTATGTGGTTGAGTTTCTTGCTTACGTCCTTGCACTGGCTAGTCAGTTTTGTAGCTCTGTCATTTAGACATTTGACTAAACGTGCCTTAGCTGACATTGGATGAGATAACTTGAAGTCTAGATACCTGTTACAGTGTGTCGGTTTTCTGTAGACGGTAGTAAACAAACCACCGTCAGTCCTTCGTTTTATTCTGCAATCCAACATAGGTAACTCTCTTTGTTCACCTTCTACCTCGTAAGTGAATTGAATTGAGCCTACTGCTGAGTTTAAATGTGTGAGGAAATTGTTGATATGTTCTGATTCCAACACAGTGAATGTGTCATTCGCATATTGCCACCATATTTTAGGTGCACTACGAAATACCACAAACGTTTATCAATCTCATTCAACAGCTATATGAAGACGCCACATACCAAGTGATTCACAATGAAAAGTTCAATGACGCCTTCGAAGTGAAGACAGGAGTAAGACAAAGGTGTCACCTACTATCACCGATGATCTTCCTGATTGTGGTCGACTGGACTGGATCATACAACAAAGAGTGGGGAGCGAGAAGAAGGCTATACGCTGGACTGCAGAAAAGAACCTAGAAGATTTGGATTTCACCGATGATGATTTATATCTAATACCTTATGTCGCACAAACTCGATCTACGGGCGAAAACTAACAAGTTGACAGAAGAGGTGAGGCAGGGCAGCGAAGGAATACAAAACTTCTTTCAGGTGAATGTAGAGAAGACATAGATGATGAAGATACCCAACCACCAACAACAAGCACCAATCATTATTAACGGGAGAAATCTGAAGGAAGTTGTCTGTTCCACCTACCTGCCTACCTAGGCAGCATCGTTTCAACTATAGGCGGCACAGGCACAGTAAAGGATGTCAAAACCAGGATCGGTAAAGCGAGACAGACCTTCACAAATCTGAAATCGGTGTGGAGATCTACTGCACTCAGCACAAAGAACAAGATCCAGATTTTCAACAACAATATCAAGTCAGTGCTGCTACATGGTTCAGAAACCTGGCGTGTCACGAAATGCACTAGCAACAAACTACAGACATTCATCAACAGCTGCCGCTTACGCTCACTTGATACTGAAGGTCAGGTGGCCAGAAAGAATGAGTAACAGGGAACTCTGGTTGGCGGCGAACCAGCCAATAACCTATCGCTTAACAGATATGCATCAGAAAGTGGAGATAGATTGGGCATACACTGAGAAAACCATTCAGAGATATCAAGAGTCAGGCCAGACACTCAAGTGGAATCCAAATGGGAAACGACGAGTTGGGCTTCTGAGGGGAGGGTGGCATGAAAGAGGTGGTGTGAAGAAGAAATGAAAGCTTGTGGACAGTGGTGGAACCAGGTTGAAAAGACTGCAGAGAAAAGAGTGAAATGGTGACGTGGTAGTGAAGCCCTATGTTCCACTAGGAACCCAAGGGATAAATAATATGATGTAATAATAAAGCCATGTTTTCCCAACTATGTATAAATATATCTGTTACTATTGGGGATATTGGCGATCCCATTTCTATTCCTTCTGTTTGTCTGTATATTTTGTACTGAAATTTGAAGACTGTGGGGATCAGGCACAACTATACGCCTAACATGGTCTCATCAACTGATATCTTAGTTTTGTAAGTTCTGAGTTAATATCTGGTTGATTTCTGACTACCTTCAGTGCCCTATTGATTGGTATTTTAGTATAAAGGCTTGTTACATCAGTAATTTATTTATTTACCCTATTTATTTGATTTATTTATTTATTTATTTACAGCAACAGTTTATGCGCAAAACGTTACGAAGTAAATAATACTGTATCACTATGTGCAATAAATCAAATAAACGAATCTAATATGGGAGCGGAAATTTCTATCTCTGTCGTCTTCCGGTATGATGATTAAGAAAAAAACTAGTGTGTCGTTCTGTCTGCGCTACTGGTATTGATTCTGAACCACATTAAGTAGAACCTGTAAAAATTGATTCCCGTTCCCACATGGACCTTGACCAGGAATTCTACACACTCAGACCAATAGTTAAATATTTCGTGCAATGATGCTATTCATCAGTTTGACAGCCTTAAACCTTTTTCCAGCTGAAACCTACTTCAGCCAACACACTGTGCTACCAGACAAATGGTGACTATGTATCCTTAACACAAGTCTTAGAGACATCAGCTGAGGAATATTTACAACCTCATCAACTATCTTCCTTTTCAGCCTAAGATTCTACACCTGATTTCCACATCATTCATATGGTGACTTCATGACATGTGATCTATTCCACTTAGACAACTATCGTTAAACATGTGAAATCTTCTCACGTCTCTTGCATTTAAATGTAGGAAACATGACCACCATTCACAGAACATTGTGAACTGCAGCATAGTAAACTTGACTATTAAAAGGTAATCGAATATCACAGCGGGATCATAGATGGAATAAGTTAGTGAAAACCAATTAAGATTTTTGTAACTGTCTCGCCAGTTCTGATCCAAATTGTTAAATAATTGAAGTGGCCAATGCTTTCAACCACTGCATTCCCTTCCGTAAGGCAAAACCTTAAAGAAGATCTGTCCTGAAACACCGCTTTGTATTTAGGTGATGAGAAGTGCATTTCAGGCATTCTCAAAATGCCACTCAATGTATTTACAAAACTCTGCATCTATTCAACATATTCACCTAACAGAATTATGTCATTTGCCTATACTGGGTTTAATAATGAGTCTCTTAAGACAAGGTTAATCTCAGTCGTAAGAAGTTCTCCTTATATATGTTTACTACATTGTATGAAAAAGGATGAACATCCTCAACACAGACCAGTTAGCATACACTGTTCATATGATACATCACTAGAGACTCATACGCCTGCGGGTGATCGAGTGGAGAGTCTTCAGCATCAATTCAATGAGAAAAACTGTCATAAGACCTCGCGTTTCATGGAGTTGAATACCGCCTTCAGGCGGAGAAGTACAGCTAGTTTCATGCGTCTTTAATTGTTCAGGTGCTCCAGAACCTGGATGAAGATGAATATCTATTCTATGCATCCACAAAAAATTCTGAAACCTGCCTGGATTCTTAGATTACTTTCCTCCAAAGCTTCACTGTAGAAGACATAAAATATTTGACTATAACAGATGATACATTTTACTGATTACGACAGATAGTATGAATGCTTTTTGGAAACTTTTGTTTCAACCTTATTAAGTTTATCGGTTTCATGACAAGTTGGAAACAGTGAAAGAAAGCTAACAGTCGGATTGATGTGTATTCTTTCTGTACCATTTTCTCTTAACAACTATACCGCATAGTTGCATGTTGAAGTCATCTTTCAATAGACGAATTAATGCCTTTTTGGTACTAAAACTGGGGGTAGATTGTCAAGCAATACAAAGCCTTCTGTATTCATATGAAGGTTATGCATTATTAAATTCTTCTATTTATCTGTCAAATGCATAATTTCTGAACACTGAATAGTTGCAGTCAGATAGTTACATATGAACAAACTAGTAAACATTGAAAGAAGAATAATTCATCACTTTTCCACTTACTCATGGTATTCAGACCAGATTTAAACGGTTCAGAGAATTTTTTGATATAGACTCCACCAATGTACAATTGTATTTCTAAAAATATATGAATTTTTAAAAAAAACAGTTATCATTGATTCTATTGAAGTACTGATGACAGATTTAAACAAAATGGGTGCAATATTACACGTGATCTTAGCTCAGAGAGCCGAGGAGCGCTGCCATGATATCCAGTTGTCTACAGCAGTCCGGTCTGTTCTCCTGTATGGCTGTAGAACATGGCCATTGATGGTGGAAGACATGAGAAGGCTTCAAGTGTTTGACCATTGTTGCCTTCGTAGTATAGGCCGTATCCCGTGGTGTCACCATGTGAGTAACGCAGAAGCCAGGAATAGAGTTTTAGGGAGAAGAGGTGAGTCGGTTGACAAGGTTGTGGACCTTAATCGACTGAGATGTTTGGGACACATGTTACGTATTCCTAGTCGCCAATTGCCTTGTCACACAATGTTGACCGAAGTAAGTTCGGGCTGGATAAAGGCCCGAGGTGGCCAGACTAAAACATCACACCAATGTATGAAGTGTTTGACTGTTGGTTTGAGGCATATGGGACGATGCAGACCAACCGGTTGGGGTCCGTGGTACAAGGGAAACAAGTAGTTGGAGACTCTAGATGATCACATGGCTCAGAGTCGAAGTCAGTGGCGCAGATGTATACACACATTATCTTCATCTTAACGACGCTATACCGAATCTCACCATTTTCTCATTCTTTTTTGACTGCATTCTCTTATCTTTATCTTACAGTTCACTGCCTTTTTAACTGATGTGGTGATATGAGCTATGGCAACTCGGACCGTTACGCAGTAATGCCTTGTCCTAGGTTGATCTGGATAGATGGATGAGACCGCAATATTTAATTTAGCAAGAAACACTTTAACCTCGCCTGGTTAACTAGTTCACTAGTTACTAGCCGGTCCTAAGCCCGGGTAAAGAGGGTAGGTTGGGCATAGGGCTAGCAACCCTACCACGTAAAACAAATCTAACTGCGTCAGGCCAGACAATCGAGTGGAACCCCTATGGGAAGCGACGAGTTGGGCATGGAGGAGGTCGTGCGAGGAGGAAATGAGAGCTTGTGGGCTGTCGTGGAGCCAGGTTCAAAAGATCTCAGAGAACGGAGGTCACTGGAGACGTGCTACTGAAGCCCTATGTTCCATTAGGAACTCAAGGGACTAATAATAATAATAATTATATAAGAAACACTTTAAATAATTATGTTAAATATGAAGTTTTTTGGTGACATCAAAGAATACATTGGAAAGTAATTATATTTTCTGTAGAAATCTTTCTACGTATGGTATATATTTCTGTTAAGTTTGCTATTCTATGCTTAAAATCGGAGATTTTTTGATCGATGGAATCATTTTATCACTCGGTCTGAATAAGACAAGTTCGTTAAATTGTAGCTATGTCATATAATTAAAATGATAAAAAAAGTATTCATTCTGAATTGTATTTTCTGTTTGAGTATACCTGTGGATTTATATTTTAGTAAAAGTAATCACTTTTGTTAGGTATTGTTCAACTGAAGAGTTTAATAGAAATATATGACTCGGTTAAGTTTCTGCTTCTTCATAACTGATTAGATTTATTTTCATAGAATGATGAAAGTAGCTGTTTGGACTGCTGTCCTACTAGCAATAAAATTTGTCGATAGTTACTCACTTCATATTTGTATTCAACTGATAAGAATTTGGTATATTAGATTTCCAGTAGTGGCTTTCTAGGATGTGCACAGTTGTACTTCTCATGGACTCGATATCTCACCATAAGCTCTAACACTCCTATAAGTGTTGGAGTACTTAATCCGTAACCTTTTCAGTGAGAAAAACTGCCATAAGACTTTTCGATCAATTGAGCAGAATGCTACCTTCAGCTCAATAAATACACCTAGTATCGGGTGTTGGTAAACTTATCAGTGTTCCAAAATCTAGCGGAGTGTGAATATTTGGTTGATACACACATGATCAGGTCTGAAGACTGTCTGGTTTTCTCAGACTTGCTGTTCCTGAGCTTCCCTCCGACGTCTAATTATTATACAACCTAGAATGCTAGTGACTATGTTCGTCAGGCTGATTCCTCTATGGTTATCACAACAGGATTTCTTGCCTGTCTTAACTACAGGGATAAACAGCGTTTGAAACAAGTTACAGAGGATCATACCTCACTACCACACACTAGTTAACACTTCACTTAACCAGACTAATAATCCACGACCAGCGTTCATAAATACATCCGGAACAAGTTCATCTGGTCCTGCTGACCTTCATCATTTCAAGCTACATATCACTTCTCGACTTCTGCAGATGTTGACGGTTTTACCTCTTGTAACCATTGAGGCTCCGAGTGGATAGCTGGCAACGAAATGGTTGCTGGAGGTCAGTCGAACTGTTCGTCTAAGTGTTCCACCCATCGTTCCAGTCGTCTCCACTGCCAGTCAACCGCAGACCTATCCTTCTCTGCCATAGTAACACTTACCATCAACCTTTTTTATGCCTCAAACTTCTCAATAAGTCGAAATAATTGTCTACTGTTACACATCCCAACTGCCTTCCCCATCTCTTTAGCTTTCACTGCCCATCACTGTTCCCGGTCAATGTGTAGACCTAGCAACAGTCTACATTTGAGTTGCGTTCGCTCCTCAATGTATTCGGAGCCTGCAAGGATGCGCTCGCCTGCATCCATCCATTCAGAAGAAGAAGAGACTGAGATCCACTGGCTCTTTGTAACCACTCTTTGAGAGTCACATACGGTCTTCAATGCTGTTTTCATAGATGAAGATGAAGATGGTGCCAAGCTTCATCTGGATGAGTGATATTGTTCTGTTACAAAACCTATGGAGCAGACTTCTCACTGGAAACGGCCTTAGTGCTCTCACTGTGGAGCTGCATTCGTAATGGTCTTGTTACTAAAGTTTTTTTGAGTTCAGTCACATGCAGACATATACGTACTTGAACCAATGCATGATGGCTATCTAAACACGTGCTCCAGAAGGAGCGGCAGCCTTCCACTGACCCTTTTCAGTGATGATAGATAGCAATGTATCCATCGCTGAATTGAGCTCAATGGATGTCACATCAGACAGTGTCTCTCTTTATGTCTGAAGTTAGTGCTGGATAGAAATAAACCATTATTTGAGTACATTTATAATAGGCGATTGCAGTAATCTGTTCGTTCGGCTGGATTTCAAAGTCCCACCTAAGTGCCTTTCTGACTGACTCAGCTAACCCACTTCTGCATTGAAATCACCTACAACAACTACCACACCTGAACACTTGGCTTTCATCAGTAGGAGGGTAGACAGTTTTCGATAGAAAGCACTCTTCACTTTGTGCGAACTGCAGTCAGTGGGTGTGTCAGGAGAGATTACCAAGAGACAACGGCCAACCTCACTATTCGTTTTAGTTCTCACTGTGCTGTTCAGTCAGATAGCGCAGAGGCGACTATCAACTGGGATCCAGTCTAGTAATGAGTTTTCTGCCCTGGTGCCTAATGCTATGCCTACACCTGCAAGACTACAAAAACTAGCTATCGAATCTCCAGAAACTCGAAGGGTGATTGGTCGGGAGAGGTCAGGTGAATAATCGCACTTGGGTCCTGTATGCGTGTCTCACAAACACAGCACACATCCATGGCCCGAGTTGCTAGAGTTTTTGCCAACGAAGCCTGTTGACCAACTTGACTGAGAGTGCGGACATTGAAGGCTCCAATATGTAATTTTGTGCGGGGTTTAAGGAGACCAGTGATGCTTTTTTGTGAACTTAGATCGTAGTTGGAAGCTGCAGAGCCAAAAGAAATTAAAGATGTTGCAGGATAGTTAGCTGAGAGGCATGAAAGAAGATCAGAAGGTAAGGATGATGGAGGTGGGTAGTGGTTCGACGGAACTTGATCGCTGATAGAGTTGTGAGGGCGGTTGACACTTCCGACTTCTTACACCGTGGAAAGCCAGGTCTTCTTGAGGTATTCGAAAGGAAAACTGATCCCATAGGATATCTGCTTGAGGCCTATCACACACAGCCTTTCGTGGGTCATTGTTTAGATGCTTAGTTGTTTTATCGCTAGATAGACAAAAGACCGATACCACCGTTAATGGAACACCGTGGGGCCTACTTTTTCTCCTACCCCCTTTCTGTTGAGAAAGCAGCATAAGCGTGGCACTGCTGGTTATGCAAGGGAAATGTTATACTGCTATCACACCCCATCCAGCTAGCAGCAGTACGACTTCTCTCTCAGACCCCCATCAAAGTGCAGTAATTTACACCACAATGGTAACTACTTTTCGTCTTACCACTGTCCAACAAACTTCTGTGGCATGGTAAGACCTTAAGGTAATGAGCGTTCTACCAGCATAACTCGTTGGGTCACTGTGGTATGGAAGCCCGACCACCACGTCAATGATGGTCAGTTTGCAAATGAATACTTGTTGCACGGCCTACCTTGACATTTTTCACAGTTGAGTAGTCTTTCAGCTCTATGAGCTGAGATTGTCCAAGTACGCCGCTGATAAGCTCCGCTCCATACCAGCAAAACTGCTGTCCAGTGTTTCGATCACTGTGATGTGGCTGACTAAATCCTACAGATCACTCTAAGTGGTTTCTAACTACTCAAGTTGTTCAGTAGTAGTGTCTTTCGATATTTTCAATATCAATTTTTGTGACTATGATAGATGTCATGAGCAGTGATTACTGATTTGATTTGTAGATGCTTACATTCTGCAGGGTTATTTAAAGGTCGTTTTGTGTCACTTGCATGTTATTTAACACAAATGAAGGTCTCACAGGAGGATTCCACAGTATAATAAGCGTCACAATCGACACAGTATAATATAAAGGGAATTCTATCTTTTAAGGCGTTCCTGTGAGTGTTGGTTGTCTTGTAGAAGGCTGTTTATCGGTGTTTTCTTAAGATCTTTTTAACTCTTCAGCTGTACCCTGACGGAGCTGTTGAACTACTGTACTAATCCAAAACTCATCGTTGGATTCATTTCTAAGTTTTAGCATATGAGTAGTCTTGTATTACTCTCAGTAAGTAGTTGTTAGCTTTAAAAGAGTTTGAATAATTGTCAATGTTCAATGTCTGTCGTTATTTTTCTCAGTATTATGATCCACTAGCTTATGGAATCGAAATGAAAGGAAAGTATTATTATATCACGTCAATTATTTTCATGGATAATTTTTTAAAATTAAAATTATGCTATTTTCCTCACTTACTGATAAGTATAAATCCCAAATTTCTTTCATATGAAATTTACTTCGTTTTGTTAATATTTTTATGAATGTATCCGAATCCCCTTTACCTGCTCGCCTAATTATAACATACATAAAATGGTAAAGAATATTAGTTAATCAATAATCATTTGATTGCATAACACAATGAAATAATAGTGGAGAATATTTGTAGCTCAGATGGATAGTCTTGGTTGTATTGTTTTGTCTGGCCTGAGTTGCTCACTCGTGGAGCATTCATCGTCTTTCTCCTAGATGACATCATCAGCACTAACTTCAGTATGAAGTGAGTTGTTAATATCTCTCTGTGAATGATTTATTAACTTGCCTTGACCAACTGGTTTGTGATTGGTTGTTTCTTTTGCTGTAGTACTGTAGCCAATGAAAGCTTCACGATTAAACAATCCAGCTCATAGAACACAGTACAACCAAGACAATGAAATAAATTTCTATAATTTAAAGATCCTCAAAGATGATTCAAAACAAGAACAAACTTTCAGTTTTTTTTATAAAATAAGACACAATTAAAAGTCTTATCCAAAATTTTGTGAAAGACGTAGGCAAGTAAATAATACAGAAATTGATGTTTGATTTGAAAATCTGTTCATCCAGACGCAAAGGTTAATCTCATCCTCTAAGTGTGTTTGAGAGGTTTAAAGATACACTGAATGATTACTACTATCAATTCAAAAACAAAGGTTCACAAGCCTGAAGTTCCACTAAGTCCAATTCTAGATATGGACAAATCTCCATATCATTCTGTAGCAAGGTGGTTAGTACGAGCGCTAGCGCATCTGGATCACAAATTATTGAGATACTGTGTGAAAGAAGTAATCAACTTCGTAGAAGATGTTAAAGAAAAGAGGATGATTTCATTGGATATAACATCATCATCTAACAATGTTCCACTTATGGAAACTGTCAACTATATTTGCGACGAATTAGCAGGACAACAGATAGACGTGGGAACCCCAACTAAAATGTTTAAGGAATCGCTGCTGTTTAGTAACGAATTTGACAGACAGTGAGCTCTTCTCTGGGTCCTATGCTAGTGGGTATCTTCTTGGTCGAACTTGAAACTGCCCACTTAAGGAAACACTTGATAAGCTGTTATTGTTGGTATGTACATGAGACATTCATCCTTTGTAATAATGTCTCCAATAAAGATCTTTTGAATACCTTCAATAACATCCATCCAGCTATAAAGTTTATCTGCGAGGAAGAACATGGGAATAATATTCCTTTCCTAGATGTTCTTTTCATCAGGCAAACAGATGGATATAATAAGAGGAATATTTTTCGAACGAACACATGGACTGGTCAGTAGATTCATTTTAATAGCTTCATACCAGTTCAGTATCAAAGAAACATGATCCAACGCCTGAGTTACAGAATAAGGAACATTTGTTTTGATGACTATATTGAAGAAGAAATGAAGAAGCTGAAGATAACATTGCAGCGAAATAGTTATTCGCTAAACTTCATCAATAAACCCATGTAGAAACTTGGAGAGAAGATAAAGAAAGATAATGTTGCCTAGATGCCTATATATCTTAGACTAGGTTTCAAGAGTGGTATTGCCTCTGATATCTTAACACATCGATTAAGTAGATCAGTCGAAAAGACATTTAATGTACCGAAACTTTTTGTCAGCTTCTCAACCAAACCATTACTGACACAGCGAACCAAGGATAGGTTACTTATGATGGCCACTTCAATGAGTTCAACTGCTCCTGTGGAGCTAGTTACATAGGCCGTGATCAAACGACTCCATCCATGCACATTTGTGAACACGTGCCAAATTGGTTGGGGAAAGAAATGACAAAGAACATCAACAATACAATCCTCTCACATCTAGTAGATACCAGATATCAGATCAAGGTAGATCACGCCTTTTCTGTGACATACCATGTCTCTTGGAATCTGCTTAAAGGTGAACGCCTATGCATCTTATTCACAGTCGAAGCCAAGAAGAGCTGATCTGTATGTTCAAAAGAAATGTGTATATCTACTTTGTTTACCTTGACCCGTAATAGGGTCGACACGTTCTTGATGAACTTTCTTGCCACAAACTATACATTTTAACCTCCTAGGCATTTCTTCTGTATTGTCATTATATTGGTAAACATTCACTTACTTATGTTATTAGTTCTATGCCCTTGTTTATTCATACCTCTACTGGTAGTCATTTTCAGTCATGACGTAATACCTCACATTTATTATTCTCTATTTCACTACAGTATTCACATGATTTTCACCCCATTTGAATGTGATTTTTTGACCTTTAGTAAACAAATACACACATATTTATACCCCAATAAATGTAAATGAAAATCGGGGAGCACTGGACAGGTGTTTCGTCCTAGCATAGGACTCCTCAGCGGTACGCACCCATGACCGGGCTAGGCTGGATATCAGATGGATATCACGAAGCTCTAATGGGAAGTCGTGACCTGTGGGGTCAACCAGTCGGAAGTGAAGTGAATGCTAACTGAAGACCTTTAGTTGATAGTCGCGCTATATCGTGAATTGACAGAAGTTGGGAATTGTAAACCGCTGAAAACCGACCCAGTGGCTGAATGGTTAACGCGTTCGCCGTGAAACCTAAGGGTCCTGAGTTCCATCTCTGCCCGGGCCATGGATGTATACTACTGAGGAGTCCCACACTGGGACGAAATAGCTGTGTAGTGCTCCCTGATTTCCAATGATTCCCCAACTGATATCAGTCCGTGATGAATACTACTTCTATATTGTATTTTACTTATTCTCATGAATTTATATAACTGCAGAGCCTAACGAAAAGTTATTGAAAACAATTTTTCACTCAAATAAATTTTAGTTTTCTAGTTAGGGAGTAAGTTGCAAATGTATCATACTGTTGTCATTCATCGTAGACTGACATCAGTTGGAGGAACAAAGGGAACCTGGGAGCACTGGACAGTTCTTCCGTCCTAGTATGGAACTCCTCAGCAGTACGCACCCACGACCCCGCCAGGGATCGAATCCGCTACCTTCAGGTTCCCCGGCCAGCACATCACCATTGAGCCACTGGATCAGAATCCAGTGCTCCATATTTCCAACTTCTGTTAGCTGTACTGTATATATCTCCGAAAAGAATGGTTAGTTTTGGACTTCCAATGACTCGTCGACTGTACAAAATCACTTTTTCACTTGACTATGTGAGATAGCCGTTGTTTGGTAGACTTATATTTATACTGGGTGATGATTAAAAATGAGATGAAAATCTGGACTGCTGTCGCTGGTTCGAATCCGGCCGCTGTCCAGATTTTCACCTCACCTTCAATAATCATTCAGTAGAAATCACTTTTATCATCAGTTATTCAACAGTGTTGAACTAGCTTAAATGGTAGAAATATTGAAACTACTTAATTTACTTTATTACAATCTTATTTTTATAATACCCTGTTTATTTTCCTACTCTATCACAGATTTAACCTGTACTGCGTAATCAAAATCCTATTTTCGTGATTTATTGTTTATTCTCATAGGTTTATCCGGTATTATTATTTGTCCCTTGGGTTCCTAATGGAAAGTAGGGCTTCAGTAGCACGTCTCCATTCCACTCTCTTTACTGCAAACTTTTGAACTTGGTTCCACGACAGCCCAGAAGTTCTCGTTTCTTCCTCAAACGATCTCCTCCGTGTCACTCTCGGATGCTCAACTCGTCGCTTCCCATCTGGGTTCCACTCGACGGCCTGTCCTGGCGCGGGAAGTCCCCAGTCGACCTTCTCAGTGTATGCCTAATCCATCTCCACTTCCACACTTCTGCATATCTGTTGAGCGATAGCTTCTTGGTTAGTTCCTTGCCAGACAGCCAGATTTACTTGTTGCTTATACTTACTATTCTGGCCATCTAATCGCCATCTTCAGTATCGAGTCAGCGTAGACGGCAGCTGTTGATCAATGTCTGTAGTTCGTTGGAAATCCCTTTAGTAACACGCCATGTCTCTGAGCCATACAGAAGCACTGACTTGACATTGGTGTTGAAAATCCAGATGTTGTTCCATATGCTGAGTGCAGTAGATCTCCATACTGGTCTCGGGCTAATGAACGCCTGTCTCAATTTTTCGATCCTGGCTGGCTTTGACATCACCGTCTGTGCCTGTAGTTGAAACAGTGCTGCCTAGACAGGTGAAAGAGGTTACTTCTTTTAGGTTTCTCCCGTTGATAGAGATTGCAGCTTGTTGTTGTTGTTGTTTGGGTATCTTCATCACCTCTGTCTTCTCTATATTCACTTGAAGTCCGTCTTCGCTACCCTCCTCTTGTGTCAACTAGTTAGTTTTCGCCTGTAGATCTTGGAGTTTGTGCGACAAGATATTAGACATAAGTCATCATCATCGGTGAAATTCAAATCTCTTTTCCGCGGTCTAGCGAATCTCCTTCTCGCTTTTCACTGTTTGTTGCATGACGCAATCGACCACAATCAGGAATATCATGGGTGTTTCACTCCTATCTTCACTTCAAAAGCATCACTGAGCTTCCCAATTTGAGTTACTTGGCATATGGCGTCTTCATATAGTTGTTGAATGAGACTGACAAAGGTTTGTGGTATTCCGTAGTGTTGAAGCACCTGCTTGCCAAATTACTTCTCGGTCGACGTTGTCGAAGGCCTTTTCAAAGTCAATGAAGTTGATGTAGAGTTGAGTTGACTGCCATTCTATACTCTATTCTATGATGATGTGTAGCGTTGCAATTTGATCCGCACATGATTTGTACTTCCTGAATCCAGCCAGCCAGCCTGTTCCGGTCGTAGTTTTGAATCCAGTGAATCCTTAAGTCTCTCCAGGATGATGCGGCTTAATATTTTGCTTACTCTGGGTGGATAGGAGTGGGACGTGATTCCGCACCAGTTTTTGCAAAGACTTAGGTCTCCCTTCTTCGGGAGTTTGACAAGGTAACCCTTCTTCCAATCACCAGGTACCTTTACTTCCGTCCAGACTTTTTGCAACAGTGGAGTGAGCATGTCCACTGTTGTGTCTGCGTCTGTTCTCAGTGCTTCTGGTGGGATTCCTTCTGGTCCTGTTGCTTTCCTACATTTCAGTAGCTTTATGGCATTGA